CTAATAAATCTTGTTTATAAGTGTGATTAATATCATTAATATTCTCACTTGCAGTCTTATTTGATGATAAAATGAAGTGTTAAAAACTGACATTTTTGCCCAAAATTGACTGAAAGTATCGATACTAGCCTAAGAGTATCAATACTCCTGCAAAAGTATCGATACTTTATATAAGTATTAATACTTTTAAACATTCTATACTGTCAAGTTTCAAAACTTTATGGAAATTTCAAAACTATGTCCTAAAGTTTCGATACTCTTAAAAGAGTATCGATATTTTTGCGCATAAATACACAAATTTGCCCAAAACGAATAACAAATATCGATATTATCCCAATAGTATCGATACTCTACCTGCAAAAGTCATAAGACACATACTAAAAATGCTATATTTCAAACTCAAAGACCTTGGTGAGGTCCCCAAACATGCTTCAAGTTTTATTTAATCCAAAAGGGTCATAATAGAGGCTTTAAACACATTTATAACTCTAAAACAAGAATTTCACCATGAAAAAGCTTATCATGCTTAGCTCAACCATTTAAACTATTTTAAACTTCTAATGACTCACTAAGAGTATGGAAGAGTTGTAAAAGTGTTACCTTGCTTTTTTGTGGCAATAACTTTCCTCAACTCAACCAATGCTCTACTTTTCTTTGCCTTTTGATTTGGAACTCTCTCCCACTTCCTTTACTAAACAAGGTAAGAAAATGAATTACTAATCCATCTATAGGTTGGATACATTCTAAATAACTCCTTATAATCCAAAACATAGCTATAATTCATAGATTTTTACAACCCTCTAAAAACCCATTTTTTCTTTTTGGATAAAAACCAGTGAAATGGAGCTTAAAATGAAGCTTAAAGGGTGAGGGTTAATAATCTTACGTTTGCTTGACCCAAACTAAACTTGAAGTCCTAAAACCTTCAACTTGAAGATATGAGAAGAAAAGAGAAAAGATGGAAGAAGAAGAAGATGGGTGCTTGGTGGGAAAAATGGAGAGTTGTTCCCGTATATCTCATAAAATAGATGAGTTTTTAGCTTTTGAATTAAGAATTGGATAAATTGCACTTTTAGTCCCTCTATTTTCCAATTCATAAGATATTCATCTTTACCAACTAATTCTTAGGCCCAACTCAAGCCCAAAAACACTAAACTAGGTCCAACTATTTTATAAAGTCAAATTGAGCTCAACTTTATGCTTCAGGTTGACCCGAATTATTAACCAGAGATTCAGGGCGTTACAGTCTTCATGACCAAGAGTGAAATCGATCGCGTACATGATGGCTATAAATGAAGAAAACATGATAAAAAACTGTAAAGAACAATCCATGTGTATATATAATTTAAAATCTATAAATCCATTTTTAGTTTAATTATTATTCAAAATTAGATGGAATTTATCAGAAAATTAAGCATACATTAAATCAAATACATAAACTGCAAAAAAAAAAAAACTATTGACTCTTTATAATTTCTATGTGAATAATAACTCCAAAATCAAGGAAGATAACAAGTTGAAAGTTTTCGAATTTAATGAACACAAAAATGTGATACCAAAGATTTATATAATGAACTAATTTTTCACAAACTCAAGAAAGAGTACAATAATTTGTAAATTCAGTTAGCAAAAAATCCAGAAAAAAATTAACAAATCCATAAAATCAAAACTTCAATACTTCTTAATTTGACAAATTCGAATAAGAAAGAGAGAAAAAGAATAAAAAATCAGTCAAAAGAAACATACTTAATGGCATATTTAATATGTCAATAGCCACAGCCAAAACTGAGAGACAGAGAAAGCAATGAAGAAGAAGAGGGTAACATTGAAGGATGGGTTTGTATGTGGAAGGGGAAAATATGATATTTTAGGAATGTTATCTTTTATTTTTTAATTTAATTTATCTATTTATATAAAAAAAAAAAAGAAATTAAGGGATGATGGCGTGTCTTGATTGATATGTAATTTTTTTTAACGTTTTTCACAATTTAGAATAATTGAGATAATGATTTAAAATTTAAAAGATAAAATATATCAAAAATTATTTTATAAAACAATTCGATATAAATGATATAATTTAGGGGATATCGGTATTTTATAATACTTTAAACTGTGATTGTTTTTTTATTTTGAGAATAAATTATCATTATGAATATGTCATAGGTGGTGGGTGGAAAACAATTTTGTTGGCACGAGAATTTTCCTGCTGAAAGCCGCGGTCTGGGATAGGATGGAATTCAAATTCAAATTTCTTAAAACGCAGCGTTCCAAGCTGGCCGAGTCCCCTCAAATCTCAATGCTAGAATTTCAACCGCCTTTCAACTCGGAACATCATATTCTCCGTACTAATTTTTTATTAAACAAACGAACAATAATTGCACTAATCCCAACGACGTGATTACTGTTTTACCCTCATCATCCCCTTCATAAAAAAATATCTTCAAGTTAAGCGCCCTCAAGAAAAAACAAAAAGGAAAATAAACTTCTTCTCGTTCTCTCACCCCGGAAGCACACCAATTTCTGCAAATGGCGACGACGGTGCCGGACAATCTAAGCCGTGACCAATACGTTTACTTAGCCAAGCTTTCGGAACAAGCCGAACGCTACGAGGAGATGGTTCAGTTCATGCAAAAGCTCGTCCTCGGCTCAACTCCTGCCGCCGAACTCACGGTCGAGGAGAGGAACCTTCTCTCGGTTGCCTACAAAACGTGATCGGATCTCTACGCGCCGCTTGGAGAATCGTTTCTTCCATTGAGCAGAAAGAAGAAGGTCGGAAGAACGAGGAACATGTTGTGCTCGTTAAGGAGTATAGATCGAAGATCGAAGCTGAGTTGTCGATGTTTGCGCTAGTATCTTGACTTTGTTGGACTCGAATCTGATCCCGTCTGCTGCTGCGAGTGAGTCCAATGTTTCTATTTGAAGATGAAAGGGGATTATCATCGGTATTTAGCAGAGTTTAAGGTTGGTGATGAGAGGAAAGCAGCTGCTGAGAACACTATGCTGTCTTACAAGGCTGCTCAGGTTACTCTTTTTCTTACAAGAGATCTGTAACTTTTTAACCTGGAGCCTAGCTTTGACTAAATAGTTGAATGCTAGAGTAGAATTTTGGATGTTGACTTGGAATTTGATTTTAGGATTAGAGTTCTCATTTTGAAAATTCAGTATCTTTTGAAGTTGAAAACTCTGGATTTTGTGTTAAATTGAATGAAGGATATTGCGCTGACGGATCTAGCACCAACGCACCCTATCAGGTTGGGACTGGCGCTGAATTACTCGGTGTTCTACTTTGAGATTCTCAATCAGTCTGATAAGGCTTGTAGCATGGCTAAACAGGTGAGTCGTTTTTTAAGCTCTCAACTTATGTCTCACTCTCACCTTGCTTGAGCGCTGCATAAACCAATGGAAAATGAAACATAATGTGATTTTTATCAATGATCTCGCTGGTTTCTTCATAGAAAAGTATAATATTATTAGCTCAGTTAATCTGATTAGTTTAGTAGTTTCAATGATGGAAAGTTTATAAATGTTTATTTTATGGCTTGTATCCTTTCTTTCGTCCTTTAAAGTTCAGTGGGGTACTAAAAGGAGGTTGATTTGACTTATTCTGTTGATGACTTGCTGTAGATTGTAGATGACTTTGTTAGGAGCCAATTAGATTAGAGTTTGAGCCAGCATTATTGTAATTGAAATGGCGAATGATTTTCTTTTAAAATCTTGCAAATATGTAAGTTCTGTTGCTTCATTCTGGCCATTCTATTTCTAGTACCTTAAATTTACTTTTAATTTGAAGTTTGTGAAATGAGGATCGTAAAGAACTGAAGTAAATCCTGTTATTAGCCAACCATATCCTTGTGAGCATAGCGTATTGGAGTTTCAGCGATATTTGTTGAGGAATAATGAAATGTTGGACATGAATGTCTTCGTTGTTGTTGCTTCCGCTGATAGGTCTACTAGCAAACTTTGGAATTTAGGGCCATTAGTTAAAGGGGGGAAATTACTAGTAACGAATACATCATTTTCAAGCAACTGGTGATCAATCTGCTTGTTCGGAGTTAAAATGTTTGGATGAATATGTTTCCTATGGCCTCCCTTGTTTACTTTTATGAGGAGAAAACAAGTGGAATGTGGCCAGCCTCCGAAGTATTGCAACTTAATGCATGTAACTTGTTTAAAGACCACCTCAGTTTGATGCTTTAAATAAATGCTGACATTTTTGGTATCTTGACTTATTTCTCTGATAAATGTTGGTATTTGGTATTTTTAGTAAGAATAAAACACGAATTGAATTGAAGTTGGATATTCATTAAATATCCCTTGTTCTTTAAAAAGGCCTTCGAGGAAGCCATTGCTGAGCTTGACACACTGGGAGAAGAGTCTTACAAGGACAGCACTCTCATTATGCAACTCCTGAGGGATAACCTTACTCTCTGGACTTCAGATGTTCAGGTCAGTGCCTTCCTTCTCTCACTTGAACACACTCTTTCGTGCGTGCACACAATTAAGACCATGTTAATGGCGACTTTGACACAATGATTTCACCAATGACTAACTGTATGTAATGTTGGTTGCGATGCAGGACCAGTTAGATGAGCCATAGAAGGTGGTTTAACCCTTGTTGGTCCTGTTCTTCTTATGGAGTTGGCTTTGAACGTCTTTTGTTTATGCTGATTAAAGCGTGTAATCTAAAATTGGGCTTTGATTTGACCTTGACATGATGTTGCTATTATCTCTTTAAATCCCGACTAGTTTTCTAAATTTGGAAGCGACTCTGATAGGCAGCGTTTTCTAAAACGACAGATAATGCACTGTATTTAACAATGCGAATCCCTTGTCTTATTTTGAAAGTAACTGACTCTACGGTCCAAGACATTTCTTAATTCTTATTACAAATAGATTTTAGATTTTCACATAGAAAGCCTCCTTTACATTCAGACAAACTGTATATGAGATCCAGAACCTTTGTAAATATTTAAACCGGTTTAGCGCTTGCACACCATCATACTAGACCCGAGAGATTCAATCCCTTATGCTGTTATTAAGCCATTCTGGACACTGGGGGCTGCCACCATTGATGGGTAAGGCAATAACTTCTGGTACACTGAAAAAAACAATAACGAAGGCAAGTGTAAGATCAATGATGATTTATTGTATTCTTGATTTCTTTATTTGAGAAAAGTTGCGCTCTTGGCTTTACAGGGATTCAACGAAAAGTTCCAACTAGGGGACACCCAAATTATTTTCTTTAGAAAACAACCCTTTCGGCCTTTATCCAGTTGGGATTTCAAACATTAAATTTGAAATCTTAATCACATTTTAGTTGAAAAAATAGAGGTTTTGTGCTTACTCATATTCGTGATTTGCATTGACATGTTCTGTGAGTGCTGGCAGGAGGGATTGCCTTGTCTTGATTATCAGCAACTCCTCGGGATCTGTGTTGATCTGCAGAGCAGATAGAAACAACCTATTTTCTAGCTTGTACAAATGAATATAAACTTGGCTTTAACACAGATTGGCTGCCTATGCAAAAACTCTACGAATTAAAAAGGATTTTTCCTGTACTAGATTCTCAAAATTTCTCAATTTGTCAGGAAAACTGAAGGCTTATTCCAACAAAAGCAATCTATCCAAATGAAAGTTGACACCTTCCCTCCCATTCATACTCCGATTCCGCACCTGCATTCACAACTCTTAGGAAATCCATTTCAGTAACAATAGTTCAAATGATTAACAAACCAGAAATAACAAAATCTACCCCCAAATAAATTAAACAAAAACCCCTTTTTATTGAAAGAAGTAAGGGGAAACAATTAGAGGGATTTATGTAATCACACAACGAAGAAACCAAGAAGTAAAAGGTTTCCTCAAGTCCTAAAAACCTCTGTCATTATTTGAAGGCGGCTGCTCAATTATTTCAAAGTTTACTTCCAAAAGTGCAAACTTACATCAACATTCTATCCCTTTGAAAAAAAACAGATGCTGCAAACTTACAAATTGCGCAAATTGAAAGCATGATATACTAAAAAGTCATACCTGGGACTATGTTTACACATGCTGCAAGTTTCTCTTTGACAATGCTTCCAGCCAACTCCCTACCTGCATTATACATTGTGAATCAAATAGATTTAAATGAAGAAGGAAAGGGAAAAAAGAATTAGCTTTAAATTAGGTAGCAGAAGGTTCGTATTCGTGAGTTTTTAGTGTTGATTCTATACTAACCGCCGAGGCAATTTTATCTTCTTTTTTTTCTGGCTTCATCCATCTCCTAATGGAATAAGTTGAGTTTCTTGGCCCATTCTGAAAGGGCCCTTTTCATATTTATAAGGCCGAAAAGATGAATCTAAACCAAACCCATGAAATGATGCATACTCGACAAATGCTTTTCCTCGAAGTGCCAATTGACTTGATTTTCATTATCGTTACATGCATCGTTATAATGAAGCAACATCTAGGTTTTTTGGACAGCTGCCCCTATCATTAAAAACAAAAACTCCATTGATAAGATAACAACCAAGTGCTGTCTTCAAAAACCACACAAGTGGAAAATGTTTAAATGAGGTGGCGCTGTAAACACACCGGAGATGCGGTCTTTGAAATTTCTAATGACCAGTTATGGTCTTTTTTTATGGACGGGGTGAATCTCAAGAACTTGGTCCGACTTTAATTAAACATGAAACACACTTTAAGATATACATTGAAGATTAGTTCAACTAGAATCCTTTGTAAAAAAAAACTAATAGTTTAGTCAGTTTGGCTATGCGTTGAAGCTATATTCCTGAATCTGGATCACTCGTTGATTCCTTGATCTGCACTTCTCACTCTATCATTTAACAAATTACAATAATATGTGCCCTGAAATAACCAAAATATAATATGTGCCCTAAAATCCACATACACACACTATTGTATTCATTTATTTTCAGATTTTTAAACATATTTAGAAGAAATATATATTTTTTCAAATAATAATTCTCAATATTTACATGTTATAAAAAAATTGATTTAGTTAATTCGTTCAGTATTTTGAAAAATAAAATTCAAATATAAATTTTGCATTCTAGATTCGGTCAAATGCAAAATAGTTAATACTGGAGTAAAAAGTCTAGTAGTCTGCCTAACAATTTTCAAAAAATAAAAAATCTGCCTAACATCGGACATGGCCGTAACAACAAACAAATGAAGAAAAAGATATTAAAATATAGAAAATTTTATAACGCATGTCGCATACTTAAATTATAATTTTTATTTAATTTTAGTATTCATTTTTTTAATTTTTTAAAAATTATTGATGGTAATACTTAGGTGACATAACAAGTCAATTTTTTTATTTTTAATTACCACGTCACTTTTTTTATTTGTCAGTATTTTTTAATTACTTTTTATTCAACCAATTAGGTGGTGACATGTGTCACCACCTATGGATAAAATATAGAAATCATTCTTGCTCTTAATATGAATCGATCTTAGAAGTGACTAGTTTAATTCAATGATTGAGTGCCTTGCATTTCATGAGAGAGGCTCATATTCAATTCATGCTAAGAGCAAGAATAGTTTCTTTTATTTTATTCTCATAATTGGTGAAACATGTTACCCTTTAATTGATTGAATAAAATTAATTAAAAAATATTGACAGCGAAATAAAAAATGATGTGGAAATAAAAAATAAAAAATTGATATTATACACATCACATTTTCGTTAAAGATCTTTGAATAAAAATAAAGTTTTTGGTACTAAAACGAAATAAAATGATAATGTAAATACTAAACATATAATTTATCATTTTAACATTTACTAAATAAGAATAATTTAATTAATAATGCTTTTCATTATATCTCTTTAGTGGTATGTTACGATATACGACATACGCTATAAACTCATCCTTAAAATATAATTATATCATGATTTTGGTGCTTATTTTATATTGGGTTTAAAATTTAATTTTTATTTTATGGACATAATTAACCATTTTATTTTTATGATTAAAATGTAAAATATTTTCTGAAAAAACCAATTTCAACAAAACAAAAAATATATGTCAACATCATGACTTACAAGTAATATTTTAAGAAAAAAAATAAAAAAATAATTAATTAAAGATTATTATTTAAAATAATAAAAAAAATCCACAAATAGCTTTAATCTTCAATTTCCCTTTTATTGATAGTGAATGATATATAACTATGAATTGAAATTGTTAGTTAATTATAACATATATATAAGAGAAAATAACTTCAGTGACCAAAAATGCCTTATAATATACGAATTTAACCAACTTTTTTGGATTTGCCAAAATGAACAAATTCGCAACGCGAATTCCAATTTCGCAACCCAGTTTCCAATTTCGCAACGCGAATATGTAATCGCATTGCGATTTTCCAAATTCGCGTTGCGATATTCCAAATTCGCAACGCGATAGTCAAATTCGCAACGCGAAAGTCAAATGTTTTTACACGAAACACATATTAATTTCGCAACACAATGTAAACAGTATTATCGCAAATCATCTCTAACCTAAAACCCTAAAGCACAACTCAGTCCCATCTCCATCTCTCACTCTCTATGGCGACATCCGTCCCCATCTCCGACGAAATCCCCCCATTTCCGACGAAATCCGTCTATCTCCATCTCTCAGATCAACCCTCACAACCATTCACGGTCAGAAATGGAAACAACCACCAAGAGTTAGTTTTTTTAATCTTATTTTATTTGAAATTTTGTATTATTATTAAATTAACCATTTCACTGAGATTGCTAAATTCATTCGGTTTGCTGCCAATAAAACCATTCACGGTCAGAAAAGAAACCCTAAATCACAACACCAAATTCGCAACGCGAAAATGAAAATCGCAATGCGAAACTAAAATCGCAATGCGAAACTAAAATCGCGTTGCGAATTTAAGTTTCAGAAACTTCTTTATTCACCAAATTGAAACTTGAATGATGAATTGTATTACTTCACCAAAAAAAAAGACAATACTAACTTCACAGTGTTGCGAATTTAAGTTTCAAGATAAACTACTACTCTTTATGTTGTCCTTGAACCTACACTAAACCTATATGTTGTCATTTTAAATGTTTATAAGTGCTTACTTCTGGAATGTTATCTGATGCATTTGTGAACTATGATGGAATAATGACTTGGGTGAATACCGTGCTAGTTTGAAGCATATTTGGCTTTGTTTTCACTGTTTAATATCATGTATGTTTGTATGTATAATTTGTAGTTTTTGGTATATCTAACTTGGTATGTTTATTGTTTTTGTATAATTTTTTTTCGGATCAATTGACCTTAAGGAATAAATTAAGCATAGCCACTAAAATTGCATCGAAGCTTACACCTCTACAAAGAAAATTGTTTGAGGATACTTGCTTCGGGCCATGGCTGAAAGTACAACATCCGGGTGGAGATGCTATGTTGACACATTTGTTTCTTCAGACCATGACTAACGATTTACCCGAGGGGGTACAACGTGGTGATGAGAGATATGGTGTCATTTTCCTCTGGCACCGGCGCATACTTATTTTGGGCGGGAGGAGTTTTGCTTAATCACTGGTCTACGCTTTGGACATGATGATGTAGGTCGGTACACTAGTCATATCGCCCGCCCATCATGGTTATATCGGGTTTTTCCTGAGCTGGCAAAGTCGAAGCCGAGTACATGTCGACGACTTGAAGAGATTATTTGATAAAGATGGTTTTACTCGGATGGATGACCTTGATGTTGTCCGAGTATGCCATTTACTACTTTTGCATGCCGACTTTTTAGGCAAAGAGGGCAGACAACCATCTCCGAGGACTAATATTATTGGTAGAGGACTTAAATGCATGGAACCTGTTTCCGTGGGGTTCATATATATGGAAAGCTACCTGGAAGAAGTTATCGTCTGCCTTCGAGGAACGAGAAAGTTTGCGGGGCGATGGTTCTAAATACACTTTGACAGGCTTTACTTAGGCTTTTAAGGTAAGAATTCTATATAATGTTTCCAAAATTATAATTAATTATTTAACAATTACTAATGTTTGTTATTATATTGTTTGTAGATTTGGATATTTGAGGCTTTCCCCAGCATGTAGACATATGCGATAAAAAGATCAAATGATATTCCTAGGGCTATTACATGAAGATGAAACACATGTTTGGATTGGGAAGACTTACTCCCATATACGACGATTAATGATGTAAGTTAACACACAAATACTACCATATATAAACAAGTTATTACTAGTACACGTTTAACTTTGTTTGAGCTTTTATATTGTTGGAGGCCAACTACCCATTACAGAGGCTGACACCCTCAGATGCTGAGCTTGGCACTGATTGGTGGCAAGCTAGTAAGCGATTTTTTGATGGGATGGATGATGAGCACCCCCCACTTCGAGAGTCATCACCCCATCGGGTCGATTCTATAGCTCGACACCAAGAGCCATCACCTGGTCGAGCCTCTTCTCTCCACCATCACCTATTCCATCACTCATCGAGGCTCTTCTCCACCATCACCTCATGATAGGCAACAGCAAAGAGGTCCGTCTATCTCCATCTCCCTGTTCTCCACCTCCATGGGATGAGTTAGGGGAATTACGTGATGAGGTCGATGCTTTGCGTCATGAGGTCGGTACTTTACGTGAAGATAATGGTGCGTGGCGTGATGAGGTTGATCTTTATGTGGTGAGGTGGATTTTTGACGCGATGACAATGGTGCGCTACGCGGTGAGGTATTTACCTTACGTGATGAGGTTGCCGCTCTACGCGAGATTGTTTCATTGTTGCAGAATGAGGTTAATATTCTACGCAATAAGGTAAATTTGTTTAATACTATACTAAAAATGCAAAAACTTTTTTTTCGGCATTATATATTTATTTACTGATTTATATATTAATTTATTTTCAGCGGCCCGTTAAGGTAGATGCTTTACGTCAGGTTTTCTTGCACGACGAGGTTCATGCATACATCGTGCACGTGCCATTACGTCTCCGTTCACCCCACTAGTGCCAAGACTCCATAAGAATATGCTCGATGCACCTATCATCATTCAAGAGGCACCTCCTATCGTTCAAGAGGCCCCTATCATCATCGAAGAAGTCCCTCCCACCGTTCAAGAGGCTACTGTCATCGTTCAAGTGGT